ATGGGTGAACAAGATAGAAGCCAAAGGGTCCAGTAGGCTTTGACTGTAGGACTGACTCTTTAGAAAAGAGCCTCAAAGCCCCGTACTGCACACAGAGCAGAGGTGGACATCTCATCTAAGGCTGGGGGAGAAAGCAATTCAATACTTTTATAATACTTGCCTGTGGAAGAAAGCAACATAATACAATTCAACTCAAATCCTCTGCTCTAAGAAACATATGCTCTATTAACAAGAAAGGGTAGCACTGGATCTAATGGCAACTTACGATCAGGCTCAACTATCTTTAACTCTCCCTTAACTTGATATTTATGATTAAATGAAAAGATGACAAAATAAAATGCTAAAGATCACTCTCAAAGATCCTTATCCATTTATGATCTACATTTACAGTCCAAGAAAATTCTAAAATTTCCAAAATATATAACCAGGGACAGAAGCAAACTAAAGGAAGTAGGACAATGTAAATGAAGTCAGGGAAGCAACATGACATCATAGTTTTTAACTATTTTAACATTAACTATGACCTTGAGTAAGTTACCTGTTTCCTTCTTTAAATGGTTACTTTGAGAATTAGAGATTATACATGTGAAATATCTGGTAGATAGTAGGTACTGTGTAAATGGTAGTGATTATTATTGTCAGGAATGTTGAAAAACAAATTGGGGTTGAATTATACTTTCTAGAAAGGGCTTCATTTTCTCAGTCTCTTCATTCTTCATTTCTCTTCTAATTCTTTGCCCAAATTAAATCTTTTAACTGCTTTGAAAGTACCCAACATATTCGATAAATCTTAATTTTAATTCCCTGATGTTATTCAGAATTCTAAATTTTCATGAATTTGAAAGGAATTCTTCACGTAAAAACTTCAATATCTAGTCACAATAGAAGGATAAAATGTCACATAAAAATTAGAAAAACACAGGGGACAGCCTGGTTGCATAGTGGTTAAGGTTGCACATTCTGCTTTGGTGGCCTGGGGTTCACAGGTTCGGATCCCAGGCACAGACTTAGCACCACTTGTCAAGCCACAATGTGGCGGCATCCCACATAAAATAGGGGAAGAATCGCACAGATGTTAGCTCAGGGCAAGTCTTCCTCACAAAAAAAAAAGAGAGAGAGAGAGAAAGATAAATACGGTGTGATTTCACTCATATGTGGAAGATAAAACCAAACCACCACAACAACAAACAAACACATAGATATGAAGAACAGATTGGTGGTTAGTAGAGGAGAAGTGGAGTGAGGGGAGTATGAAAGGGGTAAAAGGGCACCGTGTGCATAGTAACGGATGGAAACTAGACTTTTGGTAGGGAACACAATGTAGTCTATACAAAAACCAAAATACAGGGGCTGGCCCAGTGGCCGAGTGGTTAAGTTTGCATGCTCTGCTGCAGGCGGCCCAGTGTTTCGTTGGTTCGAATCCTGGGCGTGGACATGGCACTGCTCGTCAAACCACGCTGAGGCAGCGTCAAACCACGCTGAAGCAGCGTCCCACATGCCACAACTAGAAGGACCCACAACGAAGAATATACAACTATGTACCCGGGGACTTTGGGGAGAAAAAGGAAAAAATAAAATCTTTAAAAAAAAAAAACCGAAATACAATGATGTACACCCAAAATTTATAAAATGTTATAAACCAATGTTACCTCAATAAAAAAAGCTAAAATAAAAACACAAAAAAATAAATAAAACTAGAAAAACAGAAAAAATTAGATAAAACCTGAAGACAGGACCAAATCAAAATCTAGACCCAAACTGGAAATTAGATCATCTTAGAAGTATAAGACCCACAGGGTCAGCCAATGCTCTGATTTTTCAGGTAAAATACTTAAAAGTCTAAAAGTGATACTTGACACAGTTTTATAACCCAGAACCAGCATGTATAGGTAACCTGGCTCCCAAATAAGTCTGTATTTTCATTATTCTCATGTTCTGAAGCTTAGCACTATGCTTTGAATAGTGAAGATATTTGATACATGTTTGCAAGATCCAGTTAGGTTAAAGGTTATAAATGTGAAATAAATATAATTGGAATATACTGAAATTTACATAGCACTATACTAGTTCCACTGATCCCAAAGGCTCCTGTATTAAACTGTAAGGTAGCGGTTTTTCATGAGGCCTAATGTGCCCAGTGCTCATGGCTTAATAATTTTTAGTGGCCTCTAAAAATATTTCAGATCTAAAAAAAAAAAAGCTTCAAAATAAATTTTTGTTAAAATTTTATGAATACCGAAATCATATGTCCCAACAATCCTGAGTTCAAAGGTGTTGCAAGTTGTACAATAAATCTAATTAGATATGATGCCTCCAGCTCCAGTGTCATAACAAATATATTAAACCATATTAATGGAATTAACCATTGTGCATTAATTTTATTGAACAATATAAAAGCATTTTTATAGTTTTGCACCATCACACATTAGACAATTTTATTATAATTATATACACATACATACATAATGCATATATAAATACACATAAATGTTAAAGGAGAATCCATCAACAAATTGGGAACATTAGTAGAAGAATTCTACTCTTGATTTGTTAGATTAAATACAGTAAAAAAAATATACTGAATCTCAAGTAAATTTATAGATTTAATGTAGTAAAAATTAAAATCCTAATAAGGATACTTTTGAAACTTGACATAGTAATTATAAAACATAAATTTTAAAAAGCAGGCAACTGGGGGCTGGCCCCATGGCTAAGTGGTTAAAGTTCTGTGTGCTCTGCTTCAGTGGCCTGGGTTCACAGGTTCGGATCCCAGGCACAGACTTACTCCACTCATCAGCCATGCTGTGGAGGTATCTCACATACAAAATAGAGGAAGACTGGCACAGATGTTAGTTCAGGGCTAATCTTGCTCAAGCCAAAAAAAAGAGAGAGATTGGCAACGGATGTTAGCTCAGGGTGAATCCTCCTCACCATAAAAAAACAAAATAAATGCTCAGGCAATTATGTCAGCTAATAGTTTTCATGCGATAATGATTTCTCCTGCGATATATTATATGTAAAATATCAAAACTGAGTCATGTGGTTTTAATAATAGGAAAGCAGAAATAAGAAATTTCAGAAGAAAACCCAAACCCAACAGGATGAAATATACGTAACGAGAGGAATGGGAATTATTATCCAATGCAAAGTCACAGAAAAACTAGGTACCAACAAGTAAAAAACAAATATAGAGTCATATTTGGAATTTGTTCAAGGGAATTCTAGATGAGATGAATTAAAAAATAAGACTGAGAAGTTTAATAAATTTGATAGTTTAAAAATGTACACAACACATTCATGTTCAGACACACTTACAAACTGAGGAAAAAAAGAAAAGCAGCCGACTGGGAAATATTTTGTGGTAAATGTAACTACTAAAATATTGGTATTCAATATTTATTGAAGCCAAATACCAGCATTCACAGAGAAATGGCCAAAGGAAAATATCAAATATCAAAAAACTATAAATCAAAAGCAAGTTATTAGTAAGCCTAATAAAATAAATTAAAATGAAAAAAATAAAAGTAAATGTTAGTAAGGTGGTGGAGAACCAGATATAGTCATATACTATTGATAGCTCAGATCCCTAATACTTTCCAAGAATTCTACCTTTTAAAATATGAAATATAAAGATGTTAATTTTATGAAACAAAAAATAGGTAAAAGTACTCAATTATTGGTAAACTGCTAAGCAGAGGAAGGTTTATTAATAAAATAAAACCTATGTTTCCTAATTTCCTTTCTCCTATACTCTTGTGGATATAAGGTAAAACTCTATATGTAAAAACTTGAAGTGAAGAAATGAAATCCTAAAATACACACTTTTGTTCATTGTTTCATTCAACTATTTACTTAATTCTGCCAATATGCCAGGAATCATGTTGGCATTAGACTGTAGATGTTGAGCAATAAATAGTCTCTATCTTTATGGAACTCGTAGTCCAGTATATATTGATAACAATTCTGCAATGGTTAGGATAAATTATCTAAAAGTCCTCAAAATAGTTCATATTAAGGTGAAGAAATTCTTTAAGTACTATATGCTGATTTGATTATCTTTTTTAGCTCTCCACGATAAATTAATATTGGAATTTGAGTGGCTATAATCAAATTGTCTGTGACACAGACATGAAAAATGTGATAGTTTCTTGGATACAATTGCTTCATATTTGTTGCAAAACAGAAAATAATATTTTTGAGATATAACACTACTCTGGACAATTACTGTGAATTATTTGCTGTGCTAGACTATTTTTCAACTCACGCTCTATGTAGTTACACATACATAACTTGCCATTACACTGCTTTTCATATTAAGTGCTTTGTAGTCTTCGTGTAGAGATATTTTCACTGTAGCTTCAAATTTCTTAACTCTGTTTGGCTTATTTCACATATTTCTGAAACTCCTCTGAAGGCTTGTGGTCCATAGTACACAACAGGAATTTGAAGGTGATAGAATAGAATTAAAATTGATTTCATGAATAGTGAAATGGTTTCAAATTTCTAGTCAATGTTTTAGTGTTCTAGTCTCATTTTTGGATCGTACTGCATAATCCTCAGTGGCACACATTATTCCACAATGTTCCATTGTGCTAAGAAAAAAAATTACTGACTATGCTTTTAAAGAGCCCTAGCACCTTTCCTTGTAAATAATTTTTTATTATTTTAATATAAATTGTGATTTAACTTCAAAATAGCATTTTTTAAATGAAGTCTTTCTAGATCATAAATATTAAAACTTCATAAACAACTCAAGTTTTCTGGAACTGGCATCATGACCAAAATAAAACAACCACATGAAAATATGTAAAGTATGTCTTTGCCTATACATACATGTACAGCAAGTTATATAAACATTTTACTGACCTTTAACTGAAGAAAAATTACAAAGTGAACAAGATACTAATTGGATTTTCAAAGGGGAAAAAAGATTTACTTAAAAACTTAGGCAATCATTTTTATGTTTTACTGTACTTTAAGAAAAACAAACCATTCATTACCTGTGCAAGAATGGGGAAGCCAAGGTTCCTACATCCATTACAAGGTGTTAATGCTTCCCAGAGTCCTGAGGGCCCACAAGTGTTTTCATCATCATCTTCTTCTTCCACTTCTCCTGGTGACAAATTTATTGTAGATGAAGTTCTCTGAAATTAAATTTATACACCAACATATTATATCAATGTTTTTTAAATATCTTAACACCAACTAAATTACACAAATTTCTTATGGTACATCTTAGCAAGCAAAAGTCAGCTTAATTTTAGCCATAGTTATGTGGCTGTGTCATGTGACTCAGCCAAAAAACACGTATAATTCAATTTTAAGTTGAAAGTGAAAAAACTGGGTAAGAAAGACTGATAAAATACAAAGTTCATAATGAAGAGTAGGACATGAAAGTGACCCAAGAAAATATTTGAATAGCAAGAAATGAGAAAAATCTTCTAATTTCTAAGTGCAATCAGACGAATAGCATGAAAATACTTTACTAAAATAGGACTTGCTAAAAGCCCACTTATTCAGTGTCACCAAAAAAGTAGTCTCATTTTGAAAAAGTGAACTTCATAAAATTTTACATTACACATATGAAAGGAGTAATACTTTTAAAATTAATAACGGGACTTCTATGTTGAACATGCATATTTACTTTTGCTACTTCCCAAATCCTACTAAAATGACAGCAAAGGTTTGTAAAAATGGTCTAAACCATAAGGACCAAGGACAATAGGAGAGATGTTAGCAGATGTGCAATATCAAGAAAACTTCTGAATAATGATAAACAGATGGGTAGGTCTTACCTGATTTAGCCAACTCGAGAAAACTGAAAGCAAAGTGCCTGCCAGGGGGAAGAATAAGAAGCATGTCTATTCGTGACTCACCTCCCTCAAAAGAACTTCAGAATTGGAGAGACTGCCTAGCTGTGAAGGTGAAGGTACAGGTAGGGCTCAAACAGGTAGAAACTACGTTAGAAAGAGTTAGACCCCTAGACCCATCTCCTCATCTAGCCAAGAAACTAAATCTTCACCACCTGACAAGAAATTAGAGGTTTATTTTCCAGTAAGGTTGAAGCAAAGAGATTATGAATTCTAAGAAGCCACACACAATGAGCAGAACGGTGCCTCTCTAAAAATGAAGGAATTAATTGAATATCTATGTAACAAATGTAGATTCTCAACCCACCCCAGTGCCTTCCCACAATTTGCCTTAGAGACCATGGCAACTAGGTTTATATCTCCCAGGTAGGAGACTAGAATATATTCCTCTCTGCAGAAATTGACCTACCAAGAAAAAAGAATCTCTAAGTACCTAGGAAAATGGTAGGAGTCTATGCCTTAACTCCTCTGTGAAGCCCACCCACCTCTAAACAAGCTCCACCAAATTAACAGTTCCTAATTTTTTAGTTGAATATGAACAAGAACCCAAGGATCACCACATCTGTGAAGGAAGCCTTTAACAGAGACTAAAATAAATACACAGAAAAAGCTATAAATAGTATTCTTACAGAGAGAGAAGATATTTGCATCCATGGAACAACAACCAAATGCCACAAAACAAATAAATAAATAATAGCCAACAGAAGAATTAGAAAACAAGTCTGAGGAAATTTCCTAGAAGATAGAACAAAAGATGAAGAGAAGTTGAAAGCTAAGAAAACTAGGGATCAAACCAAGAGGAACTTGTAGAGATGGGAGGAAATACCAAAGAGACAGTGCAAGAAACTTTGCCAGAACTGAAGAAAAATTCCATATTCAAGGAGCCTGCTGAATACTGAGCAGACTAAATTTTTTTAGAAAAAGGACAAGTTTGTCTAAAAATCTCTAGAACGTATTTCAGCCACCAGTGATAGATTATTACTAAAGTTAGTAAAGATACTATACATATTGAATTGTAAACAGCACAACCCCTAAAAAGTTGTTTCTTTAAAAAATAGAATATAAGACTTTATAAGACTTTGTTTTGCTGCATTCACATTTTAAATTTCCTTTTATTAATTTTCAACAATTGAGAAATTATGAACTTAAATACTTCCTCAGTCAGTTATTGTTTGTAAGGTACAATAATAATTACAGCTGTAATCTATTGAGCTCTTACTATGTGACAGTGTGGCGTCATAGGATTATTAATTTATTATTTTAATTCACACAACAACCCTCTGAGGGAAAAAGGGTAAAACTAAACTAAGGCTCAGAGAGGTCAAGTAAAACCCATGGTCACAGAGTTGGTAAGTGGCAGAAAAAGAATTCTAACCCAGACTGCCCGACCCTAGAGCTTATGCCCTTAACCACTATGTTGTGTGGCCTCTCATTCACCACAATATCCTATAAAGGGCAATATATTAAATAACCAAGCTGATGCAATTGCAGTTTAAATCAAAGGAGTATGTTTGTTAATATATATCTGCTAATATATATATATAGTACATAGCAGCCCATATTTTTATCAACACACATTTCTCAAATCAGTAATAAATGACGACTATCACAGGGATTTTTGATCCTACAGATAATCTGGGTGAAAAAAATTTTGGACATCTAGAACCTTAATCTAGCAAGAGCTTCTATATGTATGATTAATGCTATCTACAAAAATGAACAAAATACCAATAGGCATCTCTTTTACCAACTCATAAATGATTTGACCATCAATGTTGATATGGCATGGTACTGTAAATCATTACATACTAGGAATTATCAACATTTCATAGATTTATCAGTTCTTTTCTTCCCCGCCTCTTTCTCCTCCCCAAAGAAAAACTCTGTTTATGTCTCTTCCCTGCTCATAAATCTCCAATTATTTCCCATTGCACAGCAAATAATATCAAATTCCTTAATCTGGCTTCAAGGTTCTATCAGCTGCTTTTCTTACTCTATTATACTCACCCCAGACTATAATCAAGTGGAGTTGTTTACCCCTTCCTAATCATGCTCCATGCTTTATTCATGCCTGCCATCTTACTTCTCCATACAGCATATTGTACTGGTTAAGAGTTTAGGTACTAAAATTAGTCCTGCATTCAAGTTCCAACTTGCCTACTTAGCCTTCTTATTAGTGTGATTTTCATCAGATATGACCACTGTCAGTCTCACTTACCTTATTTATGCAGTGGGAAAATAATACAGTAGGACCTCTCAGAATTTTTTCCTGATAATTAAATGAAGTAATGAATATAAAGTGGCTGACACATAATAGGGTTTAATACATATTAACTACCATTTTCAGCTATTATTCTCTTATATTCCCACTGATTCCTAAAAGTACAGCTCAGATTTCACCTCCGACATAAAATTTTCCAGATTTCTCACAAACAGCAATGATGTCTTTCTCTTCTGAATGTCTCTAGCTCTTTGTGTGAGTGTATATATTATGATATTTCACATGCACCTTGAGATGATAGATGGCAGAGTGGCAAAGAGAGTGGCTTTGAAGTCAAACAGATATACATTTAACTCCTAGCTCTGTCACTTCCAAGCTGTGCGACTTTGAGCAAATCACATAATCTTATTAAACCTACTTTCCTTATCTGTATCTCTCACATTTGTATCTCTCACAATGTGTTGTGCATAAGGGAATTTGATAATTATTTATTGAATGGATTAGTAAATGAATGAATTTCAAAGTATCATTTTCATACGACTACCTAAAAAATTTTACTACCATTAAGGGGCGTATATAATTGCATCACAAATCTCATTATTGTTACTTTAGTTTTATTTTATATTAGCCATTACCAGTAGCATTAGCAGAAATAAAATTTATCAGTGGTTTAGTACTGCCCCCTAAAGACAGTATATAAATTAGCTGTGTAAAAACCATAATTTTCCACTTCACTGCTTTACAATTAAAGATGCCTCGGAAAGATTATCAAACTAAATATAATCTTTAATTACATATGGGAAAAAAGCCACATGAACACACTTAAACTCAGAATTTCCTTTATTTCAAATGCCTTTTAAACTTTTTACTGGAGATGCGACTGTGTTCCTAAAGTTCCAGATGTCAGGAAATTCTTCCACAGAATATAGACCTAAATTTACATAGTTTGAGCCTATTAGCTTTCTTAGTTAATATATAGTAATCATGTAGAAGACATATTGGACCAGTTCTACATTGTTACAAAGGAGGAAAGTCATAATACATAATACCATAGGGAGACAAATTTGAGCTCAATCAAAGAAAAATACTTCTAGAATAATTACATCAGTCTAACACTGACGTAATGGGATTTCCTTGTGAAGCAATATGTCTCATATATGGCATACATGAACATAATTATATAGTAACTATCTATAATGGTGCTTTATAGTCTAGAAAATATTTTCAGATATAGGATGGCCCAATAAAGTAGAGTTGGGATTATCCCTATTTTAGAAGTGAAGAAACTGATGTTTGCAATGTTATTCAATTTGCAAGATCATCCTACAAATGGGACCAGATTATAATCCAAGTCCTCTGACTCTAGATGCTATAGTCTTTTACCACATTATGGAAGCAAGCTCTTCAAAGGGACAATAGATGTTCAAGATGTTCAGAATATCCATAAAGGAATTTCTGTGTTATGTGACAGTTTATAATTTATGGCTTTTAAATTCTCTCTCTTTTTTTCAACTCTAAAATTCTGTAAATTTAGGCAGTTTAGGAAAAGGATCAAGGGCCAGTTACGATCCCACAGAGCCCTTTTAATCCCCATCTGTCAAATCTCTAACACATGTCTTTAGAAATATGGTGGCAGTGGGAAAAAAGGAAAGACCCAAGATATCCATGTCCTGTCCAAATGTCTCTGGAGGAAAAGCAGAACCCTGGGGTGCTCAACATAGCCAGCACATAGGAGAGCAATGTCTGGGTGGAGAAATGGAACGATGGAATGGGACAAGAATGTCCCTCATCCCACCAGAAATACAAAAACTAAACTGAAAAGCAGGAAGCCAGTCTGATGTCAATGGAAAGGGACCAGGCAGAAAGACAGACTCCAGGAAAGAGGCAACTGTCAGCAAAGGCAATTGAAATAAAGGAAGACCCCTGGAATGGGAGTCAGCAATCTGGACTACCTTGTAACATAGCCACAAGTCTTTTTGTCTTTGTTTTTGAAAAACAAAGTTGATTTATTGATTTTTAATGAAATTTAAAGTAATATATGCTTATTGTAAAA